ATAAATACTAAAATTATTATTATTATTGAATAAAGGTAAAGGGACCCCTGACCATTAGGTCCAGTCGTGACCGACTCTGGGGTTGCGGCGCTCATCTCGCTTTATTGGCCCAGGGAGCCGGCGTACAGCTTCCGGGTCATGTGGCCAGCATGACTAAGCCGCTTCTGGCGAACCAGAGCAGTGCACAGAAATGCCATTTACCTTCCCGTCTATTTATCTACTTGCACTTTGACGTGCTTTCGAACTGCTAGGTTGGCAGGAGCAGGGACCGAGCAATGGGAGCTCACCCCATCGCGGGGATTCGAACCGCTGACCTTCTGATCGGCAAGCGCTAGGCTCTGTGGTTTAACCCACAGCGCCACCCATGTCTTTATTGAATTATTGAATAGGACGTCCCTATTTTCAGCGGAGAAATGTTGAAGGGTATGTTCTTCTAATGCTTAAAAAGCCCTGCAAGTCCAATTTGACCAGAGCCAGTGTCAAGACCAGTAAAATGAGAATTCAGCCCGGGCGGGGAGATCTGGTGGGGATTGGGCCCATGAGGCCAGTTCCACAAGCCATGCGTATGTGACCCACACCTGAAATCATAGACAAACACCAGGTGTGGAGCAGGTGGAGGCTGGATAGGCTGAATGGCTGTTTGCCATACGGAACTCGATTATGCAGACAATCCCTGTGGAAAGCTGCTTTCTCAGCCAGCTGGTTGTTGGGTGTTTGGGAAGCACAAGCTGGCGGGTCAAGCCACAGCCTGAGGCCTGAGCAGGTAAAAAAGGTAAAGGACCCCTGGATGGCTAAGTCCAGTCAAAGGCGACTATGGGGTTGCGGCACTCATCTTGCTTTCAGGCCAAGGGAGACGGCGTTTGTCCACAGACAGATTTCTGGGTCATGTGGCCAGCATGACTAAACCGCTTCTGGCGCAACGGGACATCAGAAGCACACGAAAATGCTGTTTTCCTTCCCGCCGCAGCGCTACCTACTTATCTACTTGCACTGGTGTGCCTTTGAACTGATAGGTTGGGACAGAGCAATGGGAGCTCACTCCATCATGGGGATTTGAACCACCGACCTTGTCCAAGTGACCCACACCTGAAATCATATACAAACCAGGTATGCAGCAGGCGGAGGCTGGATAGGCTGAATGGCCGATTATGCTGATTGTGCAGATGATCCTTGCAGAAAGCTGCTTTCTCAGTCAGCTGGTTGTTGGGTGTTTGGGAAGCACTGCACAAAAGAGTTCGACAAGCTGGAGCCAACCAAGGCCTGAACATATTGCAGGCAAAAAATTCCACCTTGCCCAAATCTTGCAGGATAAGGATTCCCACACGACCCTGAAAGTGGCTAGGTTCCTGGTCGCTGTCCTCTCCCAAAAGCGACGCCAAGGAGCGCTACAAGCTAATTAAGGCGTAGCATGCCTTTCCATCTTATAGTATTTATTGTTATAGTGGTGTTTTAGCGACTGTTTTTTCTTTTCCCCACGGCACAAGCTGTCACTTATGTGTTGTTGTTTTTTTTTTTATAACAATTTTATTGGGTTTTCTGCTTTTATAAAAACAAAACACACACAAAAAAGAACACAAGACAAAAACATGTATAGAATCAGCAAATCCCCGTTTCATAACCTTGTTCCCGGACTTCCCCCCACCCCCCCTCATGCATTCCAATTCCCAAGATTATATCAGCAAGTTGGTATTTCTCCTCTTAACCATCTTATTCATCTTATTACCTCTTTTATAATAAAACATTGATTTTCCTAAGTTGGACTTAAGTTCTCTTCCATCGATTTTTCATTTTATCTTCATTAAAAGTCATATTAACCAAACCTACAAGTCTTCAGAGTTTTTAGGAATCTCCTCTTCCCTCCCTCCCATCCCCGGTTTTTGTCCCTTCCCACTTATGTGTTGTTTTTACCTGTATGGGCCTATGGCCGTAATAAATATTATCTTATCTTGCAGGCAAAGCCCCCTTGTGCTGTGGTTCTCACCTGCCTAACAACTAGCTGGCTGTTAGGTACTTGGGAAACCTCAATGTCAGGTGATTGGCAGGTGGGTTGTCACACACACACCTGCCAATGTTGGCCTGCAGGAATGGAGACAGAGAATTATCTGGCCTGCTAGGCTAAGAAGTCCCAGCTGGGTGCCGCAGCTCACAATGGGTGGGGAGTGTCTGACTCCATCAGAAGGCAGAATATTCTCTCCAGGACATTCCTGTGCTTACCACAGAAACCTGGACGTGCTGGACCTTTCGCTAGTGCCTGTCAGCTGTCTAAGATCAGCAGGAGACCCATACAGGCTGCAGCACAACATGTGCTTTGGATTTGCAGGGGGTAGAGAAATTCTGAAATATTGCCAGGTCTCAAAATTAGAACCACAGGGAAAAGGGGAGTGGGGGATCTTCGAGGTTTAGATTCCCAGCGGTAGACAGCAGGGGTGCCAACTTGAAAAAAAAATATTGGGGGGGGGAATAAGCCCCACCCATATAATTGATATTGTGATGAGGTGTGTGCACAGCTCCATATTTCGCAATCAAATCTCTGTCAGTCCCCAACTTTTCTATGGGCTTCTTCATAGCTCTCAATTCTTAAGAAAAAAAAGTACCCACTATTCTGTACCTTTCTATAAGGTAAAGGTACCCCTGACCATTAGGTCCAGTCGTGGATGTTGCACTGGGGTTGCGTGCTCATCTCACTCTATAGGCTGAGGGAGCCGGCGTTTGTCCACAGACAGCTTCCGGGTCATGTGGCCAGCATGACTAAGCTGCTTCTGGCGAACCAGAGCAGCGCACAGAAACGCCGTTTACCTTCCCGCCGGAGTGGTACCTATTTATCTACTTGCACTTTGACGTGCTTTCGAACTGCTAGGTGGGCAGGAGCTGGGACCAAACAACGGGAGCTCACCCCATCGCGGGGATTCGAACTGCCGACTTTCTGATCGGCAAACCCTAGGCTCTATGGTTTAGACCACAGTGCCACCCACATCCTTTACACCTTTTTGTAAGCTATGCTAAATCCATCAAAAGTGCCATGCATTGAAGTACCCACAACCCCTTGCATGTAGAATTATAGAATTGTAGGTATTTAATTAATTTCCTTTCCAAAAAAGAGACAGGGGGCTGCAGCTTAATGGTAAAAAAGGGTAACGGTAAAGGACCCCTGGATGGTTAAGTCCAGTCAAAGGCGACTATGGGGTTGCGGTGGTCATCTCACTTTCAGGCCGAGGGAGCTGGCATTTGTCCACAGACAGCTTTCTGGGTCATGTGGCCAGCATGACTAAACCCCTTCTGGCACAACGGGACACCATGATGGAAACCAGAGCACAAAGAAATGCAATTTACCTTCCCGTCGCAATGGTACCTATTTATCTACTCACACTAGTATGCTTTTGAACTGCTAGGTTGGCAGGAGCTGGGACAGAACAATGGGAGCTCACCCCATTGTCGGGATTGGAATCTCCGACCTTCTGATCGGCAAGGCCAAGAGGCTCTGTGGTTTAGCTCCCTTGGGGTTATTCACACTAGTCTTAAGTAAGTTTGACTGAATGCAGTGGGATGGACTTCTCAGTAAACATAGATTGGATTGCACGAGTCAACCTGACAACAAGACCGGACCAGAATATTATTTTCACTTGAACACTTGTCACTCCATTATTTCCCCTCCTTTCCAGCTGGGTCTGTAAGTCTTCAGCAGCCAATGGAGATAAAGAGATTATCCTCACCTGGATTCCAGGGGTTTTCAGACAGTTAATGAGCTGCCTCTGTGCTCTTCCTCTGAAAGTTCAGGCGGTTATTTATGTATGCCCCTACTGCAGCCTGTGTTTTGTTAGACCCCAAATGGAAAACAAGCGAGATCTCAACTAAAGAAGAATGGCAACTTAAACTGGTGGAATATGCATAGCTTGGGGATCTAACTTATAGAATAAGAGAGCAAGAACAACATACGTTTAAAGGAGATTGGAAAACGTTTATTGAACATATGGGGGGAAATCGTGTACACTTGAAAACATGGGCAGCATTAAGATAAATTCAACGGTGTAAATAAGTTTTGATGGAAGTAATAATGGAATACTGAATGGTTTAGTTTACATAAAATAGGCAGGGATTTATGCTATGCAAAATGAAAAGAAAAGCAGGGAAGTCATTGGTATTTTAAGGTTGTTCCAATGAATATTCTAAATTGTAAAACAGAAAATTTAGATAGATGATAGATAGATAGATAGATAGATAGATGATAGATAGATAGATAGATAGATAGATAGATGATAGATAGATAGATGATAGATAGATAGATAGATAGATAGATAGATAGATAGATAGATAGATGATAGTGCAGATGGAGGTGCTCTCTCTTTGGTACTGGCGCTGTTGGAATGGGGGCACCCCAGAGAGCGGGCTGCTTTGCCTGAGCTCCTGCCCAAAGCAGTGCATCACTTTGCAACTGAATATCCCAGCATCAACACTCACCTTTCAGTGTCTCTGGTGATGGGAAAGTAGACAGCTCCCATTAAGGCTGCAAACGGACTTCCGAGGAAGGAATCTCCATTTAACTTGGTGGTACTTATTTCTGAATAAAGATGCTTAAAATTCTAAGGCAGTGGTTTCCAACCTTTTTGCATCTCTCCTAAGCGTCTCTCAAATCCTGACCCCCCGCGACATATAATTCTTATTATTCAAAAAGTGAACTCCTATTCACGTGGAGGAAGCCTAAAAGCCCATTAACTTGGTCGAAACAAGCTTCCAAATTGCCCCCCTTAAAAATCAAATTGCCCCCCGTGGTTCTTAGAGGTATGGGTGTCTCGATTTTAACTGTTCAAACAGACAAGAAGGACATTTATCTGGACCAAGGAACAACCATGCAAACATTCAGAAATACAAACATTTCGCGATTGGCTGACTAAAACTAAGGCGTAGAAATTTGGCCAGGGCCAGTCTATAGATTGCGACCTTCGGAGGGTGAGCGACACCCCAACCACTGCCCCCCAGTGCCCCCACACCCCACAGCGGCTTACCGAGCTTGCACTCGCCGTCGTGCGCCTTCCGGACGCGCTCCCGGCCGCTGTGGAGGGCGCGCCAGCTGTGCAGGTGCAGGGCGCACACGCTGCTGTAAGAGCGGCCGTCGGAGCCGCAGACGGCTCCGTCTTCCTTGCAGACGCAGCGCCCGGTGCCTTCTTCCTGCTCCTGCTCCTCTTCCTCGGCGGCAGGAGGCTCGGCTTGGCGCTGGCTGACGCACACCAGCCCCGGGCCGCAGCGAGCGCCCCGCGCCCCTCCGCACCGCTCGCCCTCGGCGCTCAGGCACCGCTCGCAGCAGCCGCACTCGTCCCGCGCCGTCAGCTCGGGCGCCGCGCACCGCGCCGTCTCGCACAGCTCGGGCCGGCAGGGAGCGCACGCCGCCGCCTCCGCCGCGCTCCTCGACGCCAGGCACAGCCAAAGCGCCAAGAGCGGCAGCAGCAGCCGCGGCGGTAGCGTCGAGCTCCAGACGGCGGGCATCACGGCGAGCTGGGCAGGCAGACCAGGCGGGCGACGGCAGCTCAGGAAGGAGCCGTCTAAAGGGGCGCAGCGTCGACGGCAGAGTCAGGGGAGGTGGGTGGGGATGGCGAGAGAGACGCCCCCTAGACGACCACGCCTCCGCACTAAGGAGCCTCAGCGCGCGAGCTGACGGCGACCTTCCTGCGTGCGATTCCTTAGTTCCAGTTTTGAACTCAGCGGAGCCCGACTGCCAGCACCTCGAGGCTCAGGATCAGGCGCAAGCGCTGGTTCTGGAGAAAGAAGAAAAGCTAAGCGGTACGAGAATGGACGGGGAGTGTCGAGAGCAGAAGCGGATGATGCGTCCTTGTGCGTAATTATCCTTTCTTCGCCTGCCTTTTCTCCTGACCAAATCACCTCCGTGCCAGTAGCTAGACCCCCGCTCGCCAGCTGCGCTAAGGGGTTTGTGCGTGTTTTGTTCTAGCCACGAAACAGTGTGCTCCTATCTGCTTCGCTTTGCGGGCTTTGCACGGTGTTTTAAAAACATTACCAGGGATTGACCACATGCAAAGACCTACGGAGGCTTCCTTGTGCCATTAGCGAAGAGGTATGGGCAAGGAGCAACTGGCGGAGCGTGCGGGGTGCCGGGGAGTCGTTGCCCCGGGCGCGCAGAGATGCCCGTCAAGCGGCTGAGTTTGTGCGAAAGGTGAAGAACAGCACCCTCTGCGCCCTGCCTGGGAGACGCGGGCTGGGCGAGCGGAGGGTGAAGAGTTCCCTCTGCGCTTCTCCCACCCGGCGCATGAGCGCTCACCCGTCGGCAGGAGGGCTGGGCAAGGCGCAGCGGGTGCTCCGCCGCTGCAAAGAGCAGCATACCCTCCAAAATTTCGCCAATGAAAATAGGGATAATAATAATAGTAATAATAATTCCCCACCCATCTGACTGGGCTGTCCCAACCACTCTGGGCAGCTTCCAAAATATATATAATGCGCGATAAAACATCACACCTTTTTTTATATAAAAAAACCACTTCCCTATGCAGGACTGCTGTCAGATGTCTTCTAAAGGTTGTATAGTCACTTATCTCCTTGGCTGGGGGGGGGGGTGCATCACTCCATACCCTCCAACATTTATCTGATGGAAATAGGGATGTCCTAAAGGAAAGCAGGAGGGACAAGGGTTAAACCACAGAGCCTAGGACTTGCTGATCAGAAGATCGTCGGTTCAAATCCCCGCGACGGGGTGAGCTCCCCTTGCTCAGTCCCTGCTCCTGCCAACCTAGCAGTTCGAAAGCACATCAAAGTGCAGGTAGATAAATAGGTACCACTCTGGCGGGAAGGTAAATGGCGTTTCCATGCGCTGCTCTGGTTCGCCAGAAGCGGCTTAGTCATGCTGGACACATGACCCGGAAGCTGTACGCCGGCTCCCTCAGCCAGTAAAGCGAGATGAGCACGGTCATGACTCGATCTAATGGTCAGGGGTCCCTTTAATAAAGGAAAGCAGGACATTCTGGGATCAAATCAGAAACCAGGAGGGCTTCTGTAAGTCCGGGACTGTCCCTGGAAAATATGGACACTTGGAGAGTCTGGAACTGTATTGTCACCACCCCCTTGCACCCTTGAGCCCTGCTGGGTGCTTCGCTCATACTTCTAATACTCTCATAGGTAAAGGTAAAGGGACCCCTGACCATTAGGTCCAGTTGTGACCGACTCTGGGGTTGCGGTGCTCATCTCGCTTTACTGGCCGAGGGAGCCAGCGTACAGCTTCCAGGTCCTGTGGCCAGCATGACTAAGCCACTTCTGGCGAACCAGAGCAGCGCACGGAAATGCCGTTTACCTTCCCGCCGGAGCAGTACCTTTTTATCTACTTGCACTTTGTGTGCTTTCGAACTGCTAGGTTGGCAGGAGCAGGGACTGAACAACGGGAGCTCACTCTGTCATGGGGATTCGAACCGCCGACCTTCTGATTGGCAAGTCCTAGGCTCTGTGGTTTAACCCACAGTGCCACCCACGTCCCAATTCTCTCATACCTGATACTATTGGCCCAGCCCACACCATCAAGATGCCCAGAGGAGCATGGACACCTTGCCCAGCAGCCTAGACCAGGAGCAGCTGGGGAGCACAGAAAATAACAAATGCAAAAGCACCTGAAGTTACAGTTTCAAATTAGGTCGTTCGCTTTATTATATGAGATGAAGATAAACGTGATCCAGCTTTATTCAGGCCATTTTGGACTGGAGTCCTGTTCTAGCTAGGTTTACAATATGTGCTATTTTTTTGCTCATGTGCGAAACCTGGCCATTGTTTCGCAAGGTGAGGCTGCCCAATCCAGCTACGCTCCACAGTGCATTCATTTGCAGAGTGTCTTTGCTTAATCCTTGCTCAGTAGCAAGGGATTGTTTATCCAGGCGGCTTTCAGAACTGCATTGTACAGAGCATAATAGCAAGCTGATTCCCACAGCATTACTGCTCGACTGGGATTAGCATTTTTCAGCCTGGCGCTTTTAATGGGATGGGGATATTGTGCCCTGTCTCAACACTTGGCTAAACAGGCTGGCCTCCACTCCAGTCAAAGCAACACACCAGCTTTGATGAGTGTGAAAATGGCTCCGTAAGTAGTCTGTCTAGAAACTGAACAGTGGAAAGTGGAGTTGCCAGACTCCTGACTGCAAGAACATTGGCTCTGGGGGCATCTTAAGCAGAAACAGGCTTTTGTGGGGTGGCAGTGTCCCCCCAGATCTTTGGAAGAGGCATGAGTCAGGAGCCAGCACCAGCAGCAGTGCTTGAATTATTTCTTTCTTCATTAGATTTACATAAAGTCCTTCTTGATAAGATATCAAGGTGGTTCACAAAATAAAATACAGTGGTACCTCAGTTTTTGAATGTAATCCGTTCTGGAAATCTGTTCGAGTTCCAAAACATTCAAAAACCAAAAACTGAAACTGGAAGCCTCAATATGGAAAACTCAGAATGGAAGCCACGTTTCCTGTTCCACTTCTGAGGCATGTTCGAAAACTGAAGCACTTACTTCTGGGTTAATAAAATCCATCTAGATTGCCCTGGTGTGGGGCCCCCTTAGGAGCAGCCCTCAGGGCCCAATTTGGCCCAATTCTTCCAATTGCCTTAAGGTCAGCCCTGATGAGTATGTGCAGGGGTTGGACTGACAAGCCCTGCACCTTCTAGGTCCCTGGTGTCACTATTCAGAGTACAGACCCGAGGACTTGTAATAGAAATAAAGGGGGGGCACTTATTGGAAATCAGTTTTGTCCCCTCCCCCCAAACCCTGGGACGATGAGCCCAGCCACCTTTTATTCATAGTCGCAGAAGCACTACACTACAGCATGGCCATAAAGATGTACATTCAACAGCTGAAATACACACCCAATATGTAGCAATGGAGATTTATGTTACTGCTTTATGAATGAATACTTTGTTTTATTAATGGACTCTGTAGTTTGTGAATTACCTAAGAACCAGCAATAGGGAGCTCTAGAATCTGAAATCTAACCAGTTGGGTACTACCAAACAGCGACCCCTATTGCAGAAAGCAGGTAACCAGCAGGGAACGCTTCAGCTCAGCCTTTGCACTGTTGACTAAACACACCCTGCTGTGCAGATAATGGAGAAAGCTCATAAATTGTATTCCTTCTTTCATCCTGGCCAACTCTATTACGCTGGTGTAAACCCTGGTGCACCAGGAACCCAGAATAGCAGCAAATAAAATCCGCTCATATGTCAGTGACTGATAAGACTTGTCAACCTGTTATTCCAAAGTCTTTCTAGATTATAAAGCTCCAAAATACAGGCCAAAAGAGAGCAGTTCTGGACTGGAAAGAGCGAGCCATACAATGGGCACCACCAGTGAAAAGGTCCTGCTCCATGTAGCTCCTGCCCTGTCATTTGATGGGGTGCCCACTTGCCCTCCTTCTTGACATGGAATGCTCTCTAGTGGAGTCTCCAGGTCCAATATAAAGACCATAAGAAGGGAGAGCAGGGACCTTGAAGTTCCCAACAGCTGTTAAGCAAGCAAGCAAGCAAGCAAGCAAGCAAGCAAGCAAGCACACAGGTCACCTTTGTCACCTGTGCATCACGCCTATGTCCTGGCCAGGCCTGCACCCAATTTTGTTTCTGTACACTCTTGTTTGTTCTCAGGAACCAAAAACATATTATCGACATATACAAGGAGAAAAGATATTTTCCTTCATTTGCAAGGAATCGTACAAAACAAAGTAGAACTAATAAGGAAAAGTTCCAGGGTGGCAACAGAAAGCAAACTAAAAATGCTTTTGCAGTTCATCAAAACTATCCAGCAACATCAAGTTATAGGAAAACTGGTGCTATTAAACCCTAGTTGGTTAATTGATTTGGCAACTTCCATGCACATGACGTGTGATGCTAATTATTTCCCCAAAGAGTTAAATGATAACTAATCAGAGGCAGCTACAGTTGCAAATGTCAACAAAGTATCTGTGAAAGGAAGAGGAGCAGGTTTCCTCATGTGTGTTGCAGGCAGAAATACTGTTTGTAATGAAAACAAAAAAATATTCCTTCCAGTAGCACCTTAAAGACCAACTAAGTTAGTTCTTGGTATGAGCTTTCGTGTGCATGCACACTTCTTCAGATACCATGCATTCTTCTTGCATGCACACGAAAGCTCATACCAAGAACTAACTTAGTTGGTCTTTAAGGTGCTACTGGAAGGAATATTTTTTTGTTTTGACTATGGCAGACCAACACGGCTACCTATCTGTAACTGTTTGTAATGAAGTGAGAGCTGTAGTTTACTTGCTCAAATTAACAAATAAGAAAGTTTTGAGAATTTAAATTCTAGATTAAAATTGATTACTTAATTGAGAAGGGAATTGTAACAAAAACACTGGGGCCTAATTTGAATAGTAGAGTGCCTGGTATCTGGTGGGCTATCTCATCCTTTATTTCCACACTGTGGCTGCAAACCAAATCACCTGTCAGGAGAGTTATGAGATTCAGGTAAGGGTCAGATGCCTTGTCAATACCAGCAGGTATATAAGAGGATGACCACCTTCACCCTGGCTAGGCTTTCTTCATAAAGGATCACTTTGGGATGTTCTGAAAAACGAACCAGATGATACCCACCTGAAGATGATGTAATCTAGGTCTCTGTGTGGAAAAACCCCAACAGACAAGGCAGTTATGAATTGGGGGCTAGAATAGAACTAGACACATAACCCTTGTGGATTCTGCCACCTGAGGCAGTTGCTTCACCTTGCCTCATGAGTAGACCGGCTTGGTAGAAGCATCTTGCTATGGAGTTCTGCTGTGAGATCAGTAGATTTGCTTTGTTGGAGTTTTTGTAGGTTGTGCCTCCACCTATATTGCATCTGTATATTTATAAATAAACATGACATATTACAAAATGCCTTAAGCTTCCAAAGAGAACCAAACGTGGGCACTA